AGGAGGAGGGATGGGGCTGGGAGGACGTAGGGAGAGTCAGTTTCACATTCTAATACCAGTTCTGCCACAAATGAGGAAACTTGGGGCAAGTTCTCTGGCCTCTCCGAACCTCAAGTTCATGCACACCTAATTGAAGACGTTGGGCTAGATCATCTTTAAGGTCCCCTTGACTCTGAAATGTACAATATGGAATTCTGGGGTTTGCTCCTCCATTCATCATCTTCTGACCATTCATGGGTTTTCTAAGGACCATCTCATGGAATTAGAAGGAACTGCTATGAATAATTATTCCAGGACAATGAGTAGAAACTGGGACTGTCCCACGTACACCAGGATGTGTGGTCACCTCGTTTTCATCCAGTCTTTGCTAGCTGGGCTTCAGTTATCAGTTAGTTGTGGTTGCAGAGAAGGCTGTTTGGAATCTGTGGTCAGGTCTGTGTTCCGGGATTTCAAGGAGGCTTCACACATAGGTCAACAGAGCGGCTAGTATGCCTCACAATCAAGTAGGTTGCCCACCTACACTCCTACCCACTCCTAAACGAGAAGACCGAGTCCAGAGTTAATGCACCTCTACCTGCACCCTAATAGCTGCACTTCTCACCCTAGTGGTCTAAGGTCAGCCAGTGAAGAAAATACTTTAAATTCCCTTGGGTTCAAGTGCACACTCTGTGATATCAGCATGAAAACTTGACCATGGAGAAAAGTTACCTGAACAACATATCCATTATCCTCCAAACGCTGGTCATTGTCTCCCCAACCTCTCTTACCTTTCTCCTAATATGCATAAATATCCCAGGTTAAAGGTACATGAACTTCACTTACTCTCATGGAAACCAGAACCAATGGGAAAATATTAGTATGCCTGAGAAATCGATTAGCAGAGAGAAGTCTTAGGGTTTTGAACTTGCCTTCCCTTAAGATCCGGAAGAGCAACAGCAGGTTTGTGTGAACACTTCAGAATCCCCAAAGCCTTTTTGAGGTTCTCAGTCTATCTCTCCTTCTAAACGTTAGAGCATTATAGACTCACAAAAGCAATTCAATCCAATACTGATCATCAATTTTCCAGCCTTCTGAAGACTGTTGCCACCATTTTAAGTCGTTTACTAGGTCCAAGTACATCTGGGGGATGGTCCTTGAAGGAGCATAAGAGGCACAACTGAGCCCAGCCCATGTGATGTGGCTCAGTGGTTGAGCGTCAACCTATGCACTAAGAGGTTGCAGGTTCGATTCTCAGTCCAGGCACATGCCCCGGCTATGAGCCCGATCCCCGGGGGGGGGGGGGGGGGATGTAGGAGGCGGCCAATCGATGTTCTCTCTCATTGATGTTTCTCTCTCTCTGCCTTCCTCTCTTTCTAAAATCAATAAAGAGAAAATATTAACAAAGAAGAGGCATAGCTGAAATTTCAGGATTTGCCTATAGAAAGGTTAAAAATAGCCTGCTGCTGCCCCCCAGTAGCTCAGGCTGACAGTGTGGGATGGGCAGTGACTAGCTCTTGACCTTCAGGAACTCTCCCAAGTGGCTGCTGAAAACCTTGCTCCTCCATGTGGCGTCACATGGGGTCCCAGCACTGACGTGACACCAGAGCTCTGAAGATGCTGTGGCCGAGGAGCGCTAGAGTCTAAAAGGCAGAGAAGAGAGATTAGAGACAAGACTGCAACTCGAAAGGGCTTTGGAGGTCGCGTGGCAGGTCCTGAGACCTGGTCATTGTTGGTCCCCTGCTGCTGCTGTGGAAAGATGCCCATCACCGCCCTTACTCGGGGCGTCAGCACACAGACACACCAGGCAATCGGATGAACCTGGCTTTCCCAGGATAGAAATATTTTCCAGGAAAATGGAAAAAGGGAAAGGTCCCGGGACACTGGGTTGGACGGGAAATGGCCAGAACCACCTAACTTCCCTAACTGGGGTCTGTTTTTCTCCCCTCAACTTCAGGCCTTTTAAACGTTACACCAGTTAGTTGATCAACACCTGCTTTTATCAGACTCCTTAAATCTCTGCCTCATTGCAGGAGGTCCCAGGAAAATGTGTTTCTGTTCTTTATTGTTCTTAGGTGACGGCTGTGATAGCATGGAGCGATCCCAAAGACAGTGAACAAGCAGCAGCATGCGAGCCAACATACCCATGAAAGGGCCCGGCCAGGTCCCCACACCAGCTACCCAGGGGGTCAAGTGTCCCTGCATCGGAGCTGGAGAAAGGCCTTTGTGCGGCTGAACCACTAGCCGCCTCCCAGAGCGAGCAGTGGGAAGAGCAGAGGCCGGTCAGGGCTGTGGAAGTGGAAACGCTTTCTTACAAGAACACTGCCTCGTCCTACATTTGGTGTGTGAAGAGCACCTCCTATTAGCCAGGGCGGTGGCTCCCGTGGAGGGTGAGCCCTTGGCCAGCATCACCCTTTAGAGTTCCCGGGTGGCAGCAGGTGTGGTCTATGGAAAGAACAGAGCTTCAAGGCCAGAGGGTCCTGATGAGCCGGATGACCCCCCTGTTCTCTTCCACTGTAGGTTCTAGAATAAGATGAGCTTCATGCCAAGTAAACGTGGGATGTGGAGGGAGAGCTTCACAGGGGTCACGGACTCAAAATCTATAGGCGGGAATGTGAATGTGTGGGGCTGACCTACCAGAGACATACTAGGAGGTTCAAGTTCATCTCGAGGGGGCAGCCTCCGCGCAGTGTCCACGGATGTTTGCTAGAAAGGAATGCCAGGATCAAAGACCACCCAGCCAGGACCCTGCTGTGGTACACTGCTCCCTTGAGCTGCATAGGTGAGTCCCAACCCTGGAAGGCCACACCAAACATCTTGATGGCGGAGAATCAGCCCACAGTCAGCCAGTATGCAACCTCTCATCTGCCTCATGTTATCCAAAGCAAGAATCACAATCCACTTTTTTAGTTAAACTAGTTACACTTCATTATAGAGGAAAGCCCTGTTGTTCAATTGTGTATGTGTGTGTACATTTGTATATGTGTGCATGCGTGTGCGTGCATGTACGTGTGTTCGCGCGTGTGTGTGTGTGTGTGTGTGTATGTACCTGTGTGTGTGGTAGTGCTACAGCTTCGCCAAAGCCAACACAGGAGCAAGCCGGAAGAGCATGGGCAATTACTGGATTCTACAACCTGCTGATAGCCTGCAAAATCTATAGATTTTTGACCTCCAGCTTCTTTTCAACAACTCCTCTTTCCCATCTTCTTCTATCCTAACTCTACCCCATTTCCCAAAAATCTTGCAGTTGTTTTAGGGGATACTGTCTCCCCCGCAGCTGCCACTGTTGCTATTGCTGCCACTTCAATGTGGTGGTCTCAGCAGCATCCTTGAAGGAGACCACAGCCCTGGCCGGGATGCTCCGTTCGCTGGAGCATCGTCCCATACACAGGAAGTTGCAGGTTTGATTCCCCATCAGGGCACATACCTAGGTTGTGGGTTTGATCCCGTTCGGGAGTGTACGGGAGGCAACTGATCTCCCACATCAATGTTTCTCTCTGCCCCCTCCCCCTCTCTCTATAAAAATCAATAAACTTATCCTCAAGTGAGGATTAAAAGAGAGAAGGAGAGAGAGAGAGAGAGAGATCTCCAGCCCAGTTGTCTGAGAGTTCTCCAGCTAAATCCCAGTTCGAGAAACAAGAGTTCTAAGCTGATTTCATTCAAGCATGTCTTGTAACTTTTAACCTGGTCAGCATTAAAGCAGATACTTTGGGGTATAACAGCAAGTTGGCAGTGAAGGAAAGCGCTCTGTCCAAATCCTTGACTGAGGCAGAAACCTATTTTCTGTACTGTTTATGTAGGGGCAGAAAAGCTCGGATGTGGCCTCAGGCTGGCTCGGGAGCTGTGACTTTGCCCAGGTTTGCAGCTGAAGACTAAAAATTAAAAGGACCTCAAGCCATCTTCCCCAAGTCTCCAAGTGCGTGGTGGCGGCCTGACTGGGATGCAGACCCAGAGCCCTCCTCGTGGCCAGCTGGGCTGCCCGACCACCGGACCACACAGTTGGTGCCTAACCTGCACTCGGCAAACCTCAAGCTCCAGGCCCGAAGAAACAGAGTTTCCAAAAACAGAGCTCTCTTTGTGAACAATTCAGCAAAAATTCTCTTTCCAGCTGTGAGTTGGGATTCGTGTTGCAAATGTTGGTGTTAATGAAAAACATCCACCTTCTACGGTTTCAACAGTGAGAGAAAAGCACCATGCAGGATGGGTTCCTAAGCATCCCTCCCCAAAGCTCTTACAAAGATGATTGTATTTATGACATGGTTGCTAGGGCTTCTGACAAACACTATCATTCTTCATTTCCAGTCCCCAAAAAAGAATTGGGGTCAAGGAGACGGAGGTGATGGGTCCAAATTGGCCTAGAGAACATTGGTATCAGAAGAAGAAACAAGAGTACTGTTCCTATCCGGAGCATCAGGAAAGAGGTTCCACTTCCTGTGTCGGTATCAGGAACTTGACCTAGTTGAAATCAGATGTGTATCTGCTGAGTCATTAAAAATTGTCTTCACCTTGCTGTCAGTCTTTCCGACACGAAGAAAATGAGGTGTGATGAGGCCAGGGACAGCTCACAAAGGATGGCACCATGAATTCGGTAATGGGAATAGGAGTGCATCCTTCCCTATATTCCTATGGCAGCTCTCACTTTATCGGGAAATCTTTATCTGAAAGGGCCCCGAGCCCGCGAGAGCAGCAAGACGGAGACACCCCTGAGCTTGTCTCCTCGGCTGGTTCCTTTGTCCCCGCTTTCGCACGGGAACCAGACAGGAAAGAATCGAGCCAACCCGACGTTGTTATAAATGAATTTCTTTGTTTTTAATCTCACACAGTTTAAAATACAATATGAAATCAGGCTACAGTATATAAAAAACTCTCCAGCAAAATGATGTGCCAGCATCAGCTACTAAAATACACAAACAAAAACTCCCCCATAAGAAATTTTTTGCATTTAAAAAAAAAACAACACATAGACACATCGCTACATCTCTAAGCTACCTCAGTTCTGATTTTTAAAAAGCACCTGCTTTTCCTTTTTTTTTTTTTCATCTTGCTTTTAAATTTTCAGCTTTTTAAAAAATATAAATTATATGAAAATACAAGTTGGAAAATAGTCAAACACAATATAACATCTTTTTACCCCTATATTTCTCAGCTTAAAAAAAAAAAAAGTATTCTTAAAAAAAGTTCCATAACTGAGGCAGTATTCCTGATAGAGATAATTTCATTTTAATATATATATTTTATATATGTATATGTATACATATACTTGTGGTTCCTTGAAAGTTCTTTGGAATGTAGAGAAGAGCTAACACATTTATATAGACCCCAACAGAAAAAGCTACATGCACAGCATGATTAGAAGAGAGAGAGTGTCATTGTCACCATGAAGATAAGGCAGGTTAATGCTCTACAACCCAGAGAGTTCATCTCCAAAGTGAGGAAAAGCACATCTGATCTTGGAATACCTCCAATCCCCATCGCCCCCAAACCAGTGCTCCACGCAGGGACGTCCCCCAGCCCCCGAAGGGAGAAGGGAACAAACGTGGCTCTGAACCCTCCAGCTGGAACTGACCTGGGTTAAGGCATCTCCAGGGAAACAAGGGTTCCCCCAGCTAAACCAGATCTGCCCATCCTTCCTCTGAAGCTAACGTGTGTTTTTAAAAAGCATAAATGCAACAATTCTGCTGCATTTCCAGTGTATAAACCACCCACCACTCTTCCTGGGATGGTCTCTGGCCTTCGGACAGAAGGAGAAAAAGCATCTGGCCAGATCAACAAAGCTGTCTTAACTAATAAACTACCTATAAATACTGAAAACGGTGGACCTAGAGGGAAAGGCATCTTAGCGCGCGAGCGGGCTGAAGAGCAATGAGGAGGCACTTCCTTATCTCTTAGCTGCTACGGAAGGACGGCAGGAATTAGACACTCACACAGGGGAGCCGTGGGCATCAATGTAATAGGAAAGGCTGATGAGTTGAGAAAGGGATTTTTATGCCTGGTTGCAAACAGCAAGCCATGACTGAGGCCGGCCTTGGTTCTACCATCACCCGTTACTGAAACATGGAAAGACGTACCTAGAAAACCCAGGTATTATCCCAGCTGCAGTGTTGCACGAATGCAAACACCCATGCACACACACACACACACACACACGCATGCACACACGCACGCACGCACGCACACACACACACACACCTTTGCCAGTGCCAAACAAAGATCACATAATCTAAGAAAAAACAATGTAGTCCACCAGTTCCGCCTAACACTCCCTGAGCAGCTCCTAAACTATTTCGAGAGCTTCATTAAGGCACCTGCATTTGGAAGAAGATCAAGCTACGCAGCTGGGCTCGTTCTGCCTTTGCTTTCCAAGGAGACACTGATCTGTCAGTATGAGGAAAGGTGTGAACCACAGAGCTAAGTTCCTGACAATCAGGGTCTGCAAGAGGACCTGGGAGTAAGCAATCCACTTGCTTGAAGACATGCTAGAAGGTTGTTCTTAGACCTTCGTTTCTCAGCTAGAGCCCAAGAGAGGCCAGCCCTGAGAAGTCCACCTTAGACACCTCTCCTCTCTCTCCGCAGTCTGTACAGCCCTCCGCTGTCCTCGTCCGGTTAAGGGGGCACCTATGTAGTGGGGGAAGGATGAGGGGATTCTGATTGAATTAGGAATTTGTCATCACTAGTTAGATGTTGGTCCCCCACCCCAAAACCCCACTTTCAGATTACCCTTCACAACTGCCTCCATTGATTAAGTTTGTAGTTAAATAAAGGGGGAACTAAAAATATAGTCAGCTCTCATGGACCACCTTCCTATCTTCATTCAAGCTCTTCTTGTCTCCTCTGCCTTCGAATCATTCCTCCCTTCTGCAATTATTAGTCTTCACTCACCCTGTGCACAATAAAGGTCCAAGTGCAAGACCTGAAGAGCAGCTGCGCTGTTCACTCTGCACACACGGTCTCACCTGACGTCCCACTCAACGGCTCAAGCTCTTCGAAGGAAAGCCTTGCACATCTCCTCCCAAAGACAGCCAAGCCGCGTCTTACACGCTCCCGTAATGTCCATCGCTCCAAAACCCAGTGCGTCTAAATGGCTTTATCAGACACTCTTCAACTAACGTCATGTCTGCTGTCGCCCCAGGCAGAAAGCTGTACAGGTCTCTGTGCTGAACAGCAGAGTGGGGGGAAGCAAGAGGTATGGACTGAGACAATGAGACATACAGAGAAAGTGGAGAGTGTTAGTTTGGAATGACATGCACTCAGGACTTACTTCTTAAGACCTGAGAGGGTAATGCCCATGCACACAGCTTTTATTCCAAGTCATAGGTTACAGGTACAGAAGAACCAAGTCAACCTCCCTCCTTTGATCTCCTTTCCACGACTTCGACAGTGCTCCAACATTTACTGTGGTCCCAAACCAGGGCTGCAAAATACATTCAAGACTTAATGCTTCTTAGCTCCATGTTAAGTCTAAACCCCAAGAATCCATAAGGACAAATAGGCAGAGGGGCGTGGTGGTGATGTTTTTACATGATAGATGAAATTCACACGCACAGTTCTCTTGTACCCAAATCAGCATCTTTTTGTCCTTCGTATATAAAGCCACATGAATTTGGGGTCCCCGATCTCAGTGACAGCACTTTGCGTTTCCAGTGGGGTCTATATAAACAGTTTTCTTTCATTGTGACAATCCTCAGCTAGCAAATAAAAACAAACTCGCATGATACTGCAATACTGAGACCATCTTAGAGCTTAAGACGATTCTTAAGAAAGAAAAAAAAATACTGGCACAAAATTCAATAAAATAAATTTTAACACAAAAACAGTTTGACCCCTTCCCACTGAAGTCCATCTCTGTTTTAAAAGTAGAGTAAAAGGTAAATAGTCCTTGGGTTTTGTGCACCCCCCAAACAAAATGTCCTACCCCACCCCACTTTTTGCCCTCCCAGACCTAAAACCAGAAGCAAACTAATTGCCTTTCATCGGTCTCACGATGCCCGATTCCTCCAATTCTTTTGCTAGTAAGTCCACCACTTGAGACCCATTTTTTTCTCCACGGATGATTTTTAAAAAGGATTAGACATGTTAGTCTTGTCCTCCCTCCAGCCAGATTCTTCAAGCTTCTAAGACCTTTCTCTCTCTCCTGAAAATTTGCTCAAGAATTTCTTGCCCCACCCACCCCACCAGTCCTGGCTCTTCTTTTCCAACCACGCACAATTGATTACAGCTGCAACTCACTTAGCTCCCACCCCTGAATGTAAAAAACGAGTTCTGGAAAATTAAAAATGGAATAACAATTAAAAAGTAAGAGTCCAACTGATGCGGTCCTTTGAAATGTCTCAGCAGTTTCCCTGCCCCTTTGGTGTCCGTCACTCATCGGCGTCGGGCTTGACGTCCAGCATGGCGTGGAGTTCCTCGGGCGTGTACCCCAGAAGGCTCTGCAGGTCACACACAAAGCGGTACACGTAGCGTTTCCCCGCTGTCTTGTGGATGATGTTCTTGTCATAATAGTAGCGTAGGCCACGGCTCAGCTTCTCATAATTCATCTTGGGCTTGTTTTTCCTTTTCCCCCATCTCCTAGCCACCTGAAATTAATGAGGAGGAAGAGGGGTAAAAATCTAGAAAATAATCTAAATATCTATGTTTACATGACTGTACCCATGCATGATGACCCACGACATTCAGGGAAATCAGGGACTCTTCATGTACGTGGAAGATATTTTTCTGACCCATCTCTTGTGAATTTCAGTTGTCAAGGGTTAGGCAAGGATGGCAGTAAAGTTGATTCTAAGTTGATGGAAACATAGTGACCTTGAACTTCTACATAAGGGAGTGAAAGTAAGAAAGGAAAGCAATGGTGTAGACTCCCTTCTCTCCCTGTATCATCCAGAGAATGTCCGTGCTTTGGACACAGGAGATCTCGTGTGGGGGGTCAGGAGCGCCACGCTGCAGTCAGCGGGAAGCATCGTTTCTGGGGCACAATTCCTCCCGAGTCTGCCACAACAGAGACGTTGGCTCTTTCTTGTTTTAGCCTCAGAACTGGACTTGGCAGCCAGCGACCGCTCCATCAGCATTTGTTGGATCAACGAATGAATTAAGGAACACATTGCACCAATCTTCCAAGGCCTCTTGAACTGCCTGATCCCTCTGAGACTCACAGAAACACGCAGCCAGGACGAGTGCTCACGTAAGAGCCGGCAGCTCACGTTCACGAAGGACTACTACGTGCCCGGCATCTACCTGCATCCTATCAGGTGATCCTAGAAAACCAATGTGCAACGTGGACACTGTCTCCATCTCCCAATAATGAAACGCAGGCTCAGAGAGGCTATGGAACTTGCTCGAGGTCACACGAGCAGCCGGTGGCAGAGCCGGGATCTGAATCCTAGAAAATGTCATCAGACTCACACAACCCCTTCCCAGAGTTCTCTCGGGTCACTCCCTTCTTACCTCATCTGGGTCAGAGAGCTTGAATTCCCAGCCATCTCCTGTCCAGCTGATAAAAGACTGACAGGACTTATCAGTGAGTAATTCCAGAAGAAACTGCCACAGCTGGATCGGTCCACTGCCTGGAAACACAAGGCATTGAATCATTACACCAGATGCTTAGCCGCTAATCCCAGGACACAGCCCCCTCTCCCTGCTCCCCAGTTCGCCGGGAGGAAAGGGAGAGCACAGAGCACACATGTTGGAGGACGTGCTGCAGCTCAGACAGACTGACAAGGTGAAGTTCCTACCCACAGAAAAGCACTTAGGACAATATATCAACTGCCTTATTTTGAACGGCTTAAGGGTCAGTCCATTTTTATTGCTAAGCAAACTCGAGAAAGAAAATACTGACTCTGTCCTCTGAGATATTCGAAGGCAGCATAGTCTTTTGTGCCTTTAAAAACAAAGTCATTTCGCCTCAAGAAGTAATAAAGGTATTAACTAAGGAGTGTTGTTGCCTGTTTAAGCAGAAGCCAAACCTCATAAGCACTCCTCTGCATGGGGAGCCCTGGCCCCTGGTGTCGAGGTGAGAAGGTCACTATCCCAGGCTTATGTAACAGGGAATGAGTTGGGTCATAATATTCCTCTCCACCACCATCCCGTCCTCCCAGGTCACTTGCAAGCAAGCACCCAAACAGAAAGAGGAAAGAATCATCACTCCATGAGCAATTAACTTGCTACCCAGGAAGTCCTCAGAGGTCAAGTGACAGCTATCTTAATTTCTTCCTGGGTTCAGGATATCAGTATATTGTAATTTACACACTTACTCACTTACACACACACACACACACACACACGCTCTTGTCTTAGCCCCCAACACTGCTGAAATCTTAGTTCTGGAAGGCCTGACCTATTCTGATAGTCGACTTATCTTATGCTAAGAGATTCCTGCGACATGGATTTCCTTTCAGGATAACTTTCTACCCAAAAATGCAATGATTCCTGTCTGACTTGTGAGTGCACCCATAGAGACAATGAACTGGCTCGGCAGTGCATGCCGCCTGGGACATGTCCTCACCGTGCCAGCGGCACAGAGCGGGACCAGGAAACACCCAGTCCGTGCAGAGGAGGGGAGCTGAGATGCGCTAACTCGGACAGAAAAAGTTGCCTTTTTGAGTTCTAACCCTTAACCTGAATTTCACGTGTCTGATCCACAGTAAACGGGGAGTCAATAAGGAACAAGCTTTAGGTGGTTCCCTGTCCATCCACAGATGAAGCATCCTTCGTGACCTGTCAGGGTGACTCTACTACCTTACACTTCTGCAAGGCGCAGGTACCACACTCTCCGTACCCGGGGCGCAGGGCCTCGCTGCCTCCATCCATCCGCGCGGAAAAGAGCTCAGGAATGTCATGTGACTTTGCTCCAAGCAGTCAGAAAATGGTGCTGCCGAGCGTAGTGTCCAGGCCTTCAGACCCCAGCCCAGGGCCACCTGGACTGACCCCTACGAGGAAGCAGTGACTGGCGGCAAGGACACTCCAGGAGCTGCTCGCTGGTGGCCGCCCCAGCCCTCCGCTGCACACCGAGCCAAAAGCGGAAAATGACATAGCACCACCTCAGCCTTCTAGAAGCGCACCTTGAGCTCTTTCAAACCACCTCGCAAGAAATAGCCTGGAATGAAATGATTCAGCAAATGCCTACCGAACAAATTAACATTAGAAAAAACAGCCCTTTGGTGCTAGACTGCCTGAGCCTTACCCTCGGTTTCCACCTCTGGCTGAAAAACCACCGGGTGTTCCACTCAGACGCAGTGGTGGGTTTCCTGCAAGTTGAGTTAAAGTCACCAGCTACAACTCCCTGCTTGGGCTCACGGGGCTAAGTGTGACATTATCTGAGGAATCCATGGAAAAGCCACCCAATGGGCAGACGGCGCAAGAAGTCAAATCTCTATTAAGAAATGCTATGGAAATTCCGGTGGCAAAAAAAAAATAGCAGCTGCAAATCCCCTTGTGACATCATAGGTTTGCTGATGAAGTGCCAAATGACAATACGCCCAACAGGACCCCTGAGGAGAGACATCCAGAGAAAAATCAACTACCTCAAAATGATGCCAATGAGCCCTGGAGTCTGCCGTCCGCTTCTGAGTCAGGTCCCCAGACCGAAGACATAAGACAGAGAGGAGCGGCTTTAGACCCCTGGCAGAGGGAAATGCTCTCAAGGGCCAGGACTCGGTGCACAGCTACTGTGCACCGGGCACTAACGCCGTGGGTCACTGCGACTGTCCACACGCTGTCCCTCCCACGTCACAGCATGGAGTGTCCCCTGGCTTTGGCTGAAGCCATTCACATCAGAAGTGAGTGGCTGTGATGGAACCCACGCAGTCTGACCTCCAAATTCTTCAGCTCCCACATGGCCCCCAGACAAGACCAGGCTGGAGACTGACATCTAATCGCCTGCCCGCCCAGGGGCATGCATGCCACCTGAGACTGGGCGTGAGTCCCTGGCTCAGGGCCAGCTCCCAGAGGAAGGATCTCAGGCAGGGGGACTGTCGCTGGTCTTCCTGCCTATGCCATGCCTTGAATTTAATGTCTGACTCAACGGGCTTCCTCCGCCCTGCTCCAGCCTGCACTGCATGTTTGAGCCCTGCTGTCCGGACAGGCTCCGGGGCAGGGTGAGGCCTGTCTGCAGGGTTTTTTCTCATTGCGAGTGCACCTTTGCTCATGAGGGACACCAAACTGTGACGTCCGGGCCCTGGGAGCCCAGGTCCTGGACAGCAGTGCTCTCTACCTCTTCCTCTGTCCACACCAAAGGGAAGGGAGGAGAAGAGGAGAAGCAGATGCCTAAGGAAAGCGCAGGGCCTGGAGGGGAGGAGCTCGGCACGCAGCCTCTTGGTGGCAAGGTCGAAGCCGTGCTCCCGGCTGTCTCCTTCCCCCAGGTCTTGAAAATGCAGGGGAGCCCCCCAGAGCTGAGTGGCACCCGGGCTCTCGGCCTGGCTCTTCTGCCAGGCACTGTTACCCTTCAGAAAGCCCACGGGTACCAAGTGACAGGAATCGGGCACCTGTGCAGACACTCCCAGACCGCCCTGTGGGTGTGTGGAGTCACAGAAACGGGGCGCACGTGGAATCCCCTCCCAGAAAGAAGGTGGCCCCAGGGTGGGCTTGTTCCTTGGCTGGACAGGGTGACACAGAGGCCCGTTTCCATGGTGCGTCACCCTCACTTCGGGTCCGCGAGGATGATTCAGGGCCACGCGGAAGCCCACAGCTTGGGGGCAGCTCGGGGCTTGGAACGCACGCGGACCACGTCGACTCGCCAGCAACACGCCAGGCTAGGTCCGTGGGGACTCCTTAGGCCCGGACCCGGGAAAGCGCCGGGTGAGGCTGGCTCTCCTAGTGCCAGGCTCCCCCACAGGAGCCTCTGCACTGCTCCGTGTACGTCCCCGGGGCCGAAGGGCTCCGTGCCTTGCCCTTCTCCAACATACCCTAAAATTGTAGAGCCTCTCCCTCCATTCTTCCTGCACCTCCTCTGACGCCCAGGCCCAGCCCGTCCACCCACCCAACCAGACAGTGGTCCCAGTGACCTCTGGCCCAGGGAGCAGAGAATGGTGCTAAGAATAGTGCCAGTCATGGGAAGGGGGAGCTCACATACTAAAAGTGACTCACAATGGACCCCTGTCTGCGCCCCGGCAGTCAACGGCGGCCTTCAGCAGGCGGCCTGGGTGTCACACATCAGGAATCCGGTGGCATCACTGGGAGACTATGCTCCTCAAGTGGAAGCTCTGAACCACAACAACAGAGGGGTCCCTGTTAGAAGGCAGTTTCCTCCAGAGGCGGGGGAGGGCACCACCACCCCTGCAGCCCGCCCGCCCTCCACCTCCCTCCCTGGCTGCAGCGGGGTGTCCTCGGACTGCTCTGTTCTCTCCGCTTCTGGGCCCGGGGAACAGCCTCAGTGTAACACTGAAGAACTCGATACAACTCGGCAGACGAAATGTCAGGTGGGAGCTGGAGGCATTCGGCCAGTGGAGACAATCCCATGAGCACGCTTCCCTCCAGAGGGGACCCTCGGGGCGCTTCAAACCCCAGACTACAATCTCTCTCTCTCTCTCTTTTAAGGCAAAACTTCAGGTAAATTCCTACTCATTTTGGTTGTTGTTTTTTATTAATCCTCACCAGAGGATATTTTTCTATTTCTCTTCAGATAGCGTGTGAGGGAGGGAGGAGACAGACACACACACAGAGAGAGAGAGAGAGAGAGAGAGATGTGAGAGGGACACATCGACTGGTTGCCCCCTGCACAACCCAGCCAGGGCCGGGAGTCAACTGCAACCGAGGTACATGCCTTTGGGTAGAATCAAACCCACAACTCATTGGTCCACGGGCCAATGCTCTAACCACTGAGCCAAACCAGCCAGCACCCATTTTGGTTGTTTTTTAAGTCCCTTTTCCTTGTCAGTTAACTGGAAGACTTGCCAATCCACCTCGATAAGGGTTGGTTATTAAAACCCTCTGCTTTTTTAGCCCTGGCCAGTTTGGCTCAGTGGTTAGAGGATCGGCCGTTGGACCGAAGGGTCTCAGGTTTGACTCCAGTCAAGGGCACGTACCTTGGATGGGGTTCAGTCCCTGGCCCTGGTCAGGGTTGTGCAGGAGGCAACTGATCGATGTGTCTCTCTCACATAGATGTTTCTCTCTCTCTGTCTCTCTCTCTCTGTCTCTCTCTCTCTCCCTCTCTCCCTCCCTCCCTCCTACTCTATCTGAAGATAAATGGAAGAATATCCTCGGGTGAGGACTAAAAAAAAAAATTAAAATCCCCTGCTTTTTGCTTCCTTACTCTGAGTCTAAGAAGTGAGCAATTTAAATAAATATACAGCAATGGGCTAGAAAAAAATTGGGGTGAGATGCTCCTGACAATGATCCTTTCCACTTGGTAATCTGTCAGTACCTTCCTCTCGTTTTCTAGGCCTGGAGGTTGCCTGCCGCGCCCACGAACTCACAGCTCCCTGTTGGTGAACTCAGGGTGGGGCTGCAGTTTTTCCTTTTCAAAACTGCAAGTTCTCATCTGTCACCTGTGCGCCGGTGTGAAGGGCACGGAGGGGAGCTGACTTCCACACAGATGGAGGGGAGCTCAGAGCTCACTCTGGCTGCCTCC